ACCTATCCTGAGAACACATGGAATTTACTCTCCCCACTTCCATTTCCCTCCTCAAAGCACTCTTTGTCTGCAAAGACAGGCAGTGTTAAATGACCAGTGAATGAAATGTCTGGTATTTACTGATTTTTTTTCCCTGCCAGGAGGTGAAAATACCGGACACCTGGCAACCCTACACACACTCAGCAACTGGGCCCAGCTTCCCCCTTTCTCTCTGCTTACTGGCTGTCTTTTGGCTTGGAGCAGGAAAACAAGATGACCTCCAGCAAAAAGCCTCAAAGGATTTTCTTAAAGGAGCCATGTCGGGGGGCGGCGGAGGAGAAGGAAGGGGAGGGGTTGTGCTTAATAACTCTCAGGTGTTTGTATTGTTTTGTTTGTTTTGTTTTGCTCAATAAACTTTGATCTTCCACTTTTTTTTCTCAACAGAATTTTTTCCCTGGTGTTTTTTTTGGGGTGTGTGGAAGGGGAGTGTTTGGTTAAACCATCTGGCTACCCTGCATTCTATCATCCTTCCCAGGCTCAGCCTCAGTAAGCGGGTGGAAGGACTATCAGTCCCTTTTATAGTCATATGTAGCTAAGCCCCAGGGTTGCCAGATGTCCAGTATTGACCCGGACAGTCCGGTGTTAGGACGTGTGTGGTTTGAGTGCCAGGGCTGCAATCTGGGAGTTCAGCCTGCAGGGCACCTGTCAGGTGTGTGGCTTGGTGCAGATGGGGGGGGCTCTGGGAAGAGACGGGAGGAGGGACACTCTGTGTGGCAGAAGTGGCTCTCTGCTCACCCAGGCTGCTGCAGGCACATCTGTACTCAGGCTGCAGCAGCGCCAGCCCCCCTGGTGGACCCGGCCTCTCTCAATGGTACGGTTGCCAGGGGTCCGGTATTGACCCGGACAGTCCAGAATTTTCTCCTTCTGTCCAGTAAAAAAAATCAGAAAATCCCGGAAACCTAAAATGTCCAGTATTTTCTGATTTTTTTCCTGGCCAGGAGGAGAAAATCCTGAGTGCTTATCTGGTTCTGCAGGGGAGCTGTCTGGCATGGAGCAGAAAGACAAGATGGTCAACAACTTTTTTTTCTCACCAGAATTTTTTCCCCAGATTTTTTTTGGGGGTGGTGGGCACACATGTTCAGTATTTTTGGTTAAACCATTTGGCAACCCTGTTGGGACAACCAGATTTATTTTGAATCCAGACTTTTACAAACTTTTATGTTAGTCAGCCCAATTCTGATGGATGAAAGCAGAGGACCCACTGCTAACTAAACTGGGTGAGCAGAGAGCCACTTCTGCCACACAGCATTTATTGAGCAAAACAAAACAAAACAAAACAAAACAAAACAAAACAAAACAAACACCTGAGAGTTATTAAGCACAACTCCTTCCCTTCACAGTTCAGCTGTGAGTTGGGGATGAAGCTCATTGAGAAGGCTTTGTTGGAGCATGAGTAGAATCTCTTCCAAGAAGGGGATTCTCTTAAATCAGGGCTACTCAACATATGGACTATGGGCCGCATGTGGCCCGTAGCCCATTTGTTTGCAGCCCGAAATGTGGTTTGAGTTTCTGTGGGGCTCAACATGTAGCCTGTTGGTGGGAGCCCAAAACAAAAAGTAGTTAATATAATGGCCTTCTGTTGATATGTGTTTTAGTAGTTAAATTCCTGGACTGTCATTGCTATCATATGGGTGGAAATTGCGTAAATATTGCATTTTATTAATATCAGCAGAACTAACTTAAATGGGGCCTGCATGTTGTGTAGTCTTGCCTTAATCTTTGCATTCATTCCCGTCAGTGTTAAAGAAGCTATTTGCATATATATTTGCATGTATATGCAACCACACTTAAGTTGCGGCCCTTGACATGTGCTGTGAGAATCACTGTGGACCCCGGGGCTTCCAAAATTGAGTAGCCCTGTTTTAAATACTGATAAGTGAAATAGTGATGATGTCATGGTCTTACACCTCTTCCTCCCCCGCTTCCTCTGCTTATGGTTGGGCAAGTGAAAGCATTACTTATGACTGAGAGAGACTGGCAAAAGTCTGAGGAAAGGCTCAAGGACATAGCTTATTGTGAATTTTCAATATTCTGAAAGTATCCTTCTACTTGTTTCTAGATTTCAGCCTGTCTTTTCATCCTCCCTCCCTCTTGCCTCACATATCCAGGCAACATCCAAATACCTCTACTCCTCCCTCAACATTTTAAAAGCTCAACCTTTTTTATCTCTCTCCCTCCACCCAGCTAATGTTTTATTCAGGCCCTCTTAACTTCCTCCTATCTGTTCTTCCTCACACACTCCATCCATTCCATTGAAATACTGGTTGTTGACTCATCTTCCTAGCCCGTACTCTGATCACAGCACTCCTCTCATGTGGACCCCTTTACTGGCTCCCCCATCTTCCTGTATCCAATTCAAGCTTCTTGTTCACCTATTCAAGGGTTTTAGCAACTCATCTTCCCAATGCATGTCCTCCCACATCTATTTGTGACTTTCCATTTCCATTCCCTCACTTTGCCAAGGATGTCAGTCTCACCTGCCCATCTGTCATCTTCTCTCACACTTATATCTGGGCCATTTTCCATGCTCTCCCTTATGCCTGGCATGCAGCCATGAATTCATCAATAAAAGGCCACTAATCTCTCATCCTGTCTCTTAGGGTGCATCTACAGGGCTTAACTCGAAATAAGCTACACAAATTGAGCTACGTCAATTGCAGAAATAGCTTATTTTGAAATAGGGAGCGTGTACACACCACTTATTTCGAAACAGAGCACTCTTCTTCTGACTTTCTGTATTCCTCGTACAATGAGGGTTACAGGAGTCGGAGTAAGAAATCCTCCAGCTTGACATTATTTTGACACTATTTTTAAATAACTTCCTGCTATGTAGACGCGGACTGAGTTATTCCAGAATAGCACTAGTTATTTAGAAATAATGTTGCTGTGTAGACATACCCTTACTCTATATTTCTAGAACATGTGGCACCATGGGGCCCTGATTTTGACTGGGCCCTATGGGCACTACCATACTTCATTAGCATCATGCGTCTGATTCTGTTCTCACTGAAAACAATTTTACACAAGTATGTAATTTCACTGGCATCTATACAGTTTTTCTCTTGGTTTACACTAATATGAGGACAAGCAGGCTCTATGTGTCTAGCCTTGTATCACTGTGTTTTTCCTGATTTAACGAAAGTAAAGCAATACAACTTGGGCATTATAAATAAGTACAATTTTTCCCATTCCACCAGCCTACATCTCATTAATGGAGGAGACAGTTACGAGATAAAAGCTTTTTTTGTGTATTAGAATTTCTTTATTTAAACGAGGTCAGTCCAACCTGACCATCAAAAAGATCTTGTAAAAATATCATTTGTTATTTCATTATTTTATACTGCAGTAGTTTTTCCATCCAGTTATGGATGTTCTGAAAACAAGTTTGCACAATTACACAGGGGAGAATTAGATTAATTGACTGGAAGAAAGACCTTTAGGAGCTATTTATCTGTTGCTATTCAAATTAAATTAGCCTACAAGATTACAAATACTGGCCCCAGCACTACTTATCTAACTGGGAAGTAGAGCTGTTTAAAGACAGCCAGACTATGAGGCATTTGGTTAGCCACTCAGGGGACATTCTGAAGTAATATGGAGTACTTCTTGATATAAATAGCACCATTTCCTGTTAATAACTTCATATATTTTTCTAATATTGTTGCTAATAAGCTTATGATATTGAAGAATGGTTTTTCTAATGTTTAAGCCACTAAAAAGTTTACACTTTTTAAAAAAATGAAAAATAAAGCAGCAAAGGATTTGGGAATACTGATATTAATTCACTTTATTATAGCTGATGTTGAAAATAACTTATCAAAAGAAATTTTGTAAATCATCTGAACTTAAGATGCTAATAATCAACATTACCAGAACTAATCAAAATGAAATAAGCTTATAGGCGTGATCCAAAACCCATTACTGTCAATGGAAGATCTTTCACAGATTCCAATGTGCTTTAGATCAATCTCATGGAAGACCTAGCGAAGCTCCATTTTCAGTGAAGAGGAGTGAAAATTTTATTTCAGGGTATTTTATACAAATTGAAGTCCATTTACAGTGAACCTAACCTTCTTCAGGACAAGACCCGGAACTTTTACTCACGTAAATCTCCCCTGGAAGTCAGCAAGAATATCGGTACTGCAGCATAATGCATGTAACTAAAGGTACGTCTACTTAGCAACATTATTTTGAAATACCTAGCGTTATTTTGAAATAACTTAGTCCATGTCTACACAGCAGGCAGTTATTTCGAAATAATGTCAAAATATTGTCAAGCTGGAGGACTTCTTACTCTGACTCCTGTAACCCTCATTGTACAAGGAGTAAGGGAAGTCAGAGGAAGCGTGCTCTATTTCAAAATAAGTGCTGTGTAGATGCTCCCAATTTCAAAATAAGCTATTTCTAAATAAGCTATGCAATTGACATAGCTCAATTGCATAGCTTATTCTACGTTAAGCCCTGCTATGTAGACGCATGCTACGTGACCTGCACTGCTGCACAACATGGGATTGAAGCAAGTTAGAATCTTGCCATCGACTTCAATGAACTTTGACAGGCCACATAAGATATTCACAGAACTGCTTTTCCTAAATAATTATAAACCCAGAGAATACAATAGCAAAATCCTTGGCCAGAACCTGCTCCCACTGAAGTCAGTATCAAGTTTGTATTGACTTCGGTGGGAGTAGAATTCAGCTCCTAACTATGTTTTTATACACAATGAAACATATGCTGTATATACATATACACAGCATTGTAGAAAATGACCACAGTACCATTGACTAGATTTTCTGACTCGTTTCATTAAAAGTTGCTCAGTTTGTTCTAAATCAGTTTAGTTTTGAAGAATACAGATTTGGTTGTGTTAAGATTAAATGAATTAAAATACAGACCATAAAACAAAATACAACCATATGATTAATGGTTCTCAGCAAAATTAAAAGCAAATCTGGGCTCACCTGTTTGTTTCCATTGCTGGTCAGTCCCGTATCCCTTTTCTCTGAGAAAGTCTGCATCCTGAAATTGTTTCCAACTTTATATTTCTTTAAGTAACCACCAACCTTGATAAGCTTAGGCGAAGCTTTGTTTTTGAGAATTAAATCAGCAATTTTACAAGTTTTAAACTTCTCAGCCAAAAACCCTATAAGCTCCTGCAAACCCAGCACTATTTGTTCCATTCCATCTAATCTTTTAGTTTGCTGCTCTGCACTCTTGTTCATATCAGAAAGGGTATTAGTCATTTCTATGCACAGCCCCTTCATTTCAGAATTATTTAGCTTTTCATTTGTTTCTGTGGGTCCAGGCTCAGTTGCTTTTGCCTTTAACATCTGAATGTCTTTTTCAATGCAACACATTTCCTGGGAAACACTGTTTAGCGTCTGAAGGACATTGTCCTGCACAATCAACAACTTATCTATTTTCTGACCAAGGGAGGCAAACTTCACATCCAAGGTATTAAAACTTTCAGAGGAGCTGAGAGGTTTGCTTGCAGCAAGAGGAATTTGGGTGGTTTCCACTTCATTAGCAGGCCCTTGGTTTTGTAAAGCACACGGATCAAATATTTTGACCAAGGAGTTTACTCTGGATGTAGTAGAATTCGTCATAGTGGAGGTGGTCATTATGCTGGTTTAGTTAGGGGAACAAAATACTCTGATGGCCAATATCTGCTCAGAAAGCTCCACATCCAGTCTTCGCAGACACAAAACACGGGTTTGGCAAATCAGACTGAAGCTATTTGAAAAACATCCAAATACATTTGACTACGACAAAGTAATCAGACAGCTGAATTACTTAGAAAGGAGAACGCTCCTGTTCATTTTTTTTTACTTGTTTTAAAGTGAAATTGATATAGAGACAGACATTTGCTGAACAACCTAAATGCGCTCTGCTCAATGACGCAAGCCGGGGGAAGAGGGGAGGGAAGGACAGAACTATCTGCACTTAAATGGAATTTGACAGTTGTAAAGGCTACAAGATATCTGAGAAGCCACTATGGGTAGACACTTTGGCAGTAGTGTTACAGCTTGTCAGAAACATGCATCTACTATGCAATGTGATCTCTGTTCTGAAGAGAATACGGGGCCCTTAAGGGGAAGCTAAATTTGGGCTCTTGAAATTTTTACAGCTTAATATAAATTGTTCAGATTCAAACCTGAAGTTGCTTGAGAAATCTCTTATCAAAGGCGGCATTAAAGAGCAAGAGAGAGAGAAAAATACTATATATAAATAATACAAAAGAGAAAGTGGGAAAGACTGTCTTTCCCACTTTCTCTTTTGTATTATTTATATATAGTACTTCTTGTACACCAACACTATGGAAAGCCACAGCCTTTTTCTTTGGGCAATCACCACATCCAATTAGACTTGCTGTACAAAGGCAATCCATAGTCTTAACAGTCTTTCCCCCCACAATCTGAGTTTTAGTTTAATCCTGTGTTTTCTCTAATGTAGTTAAATTTAACCGAATGAAGTCTCTTCCCATTTACAATGATCTTACTGAAACATTCAAAAAATGAAGTTCACTAGTTCTATTCTTTTTATTGCCTATCTGTAAATTGCTCCCTTAACACCAGTCATTATTTTACACACACAAATGCTTTCCTGAAGGACTTTCATTTTTCATAAAGTCAGTGTGAGGTCTAGAAGAAGAAAAATATGATTGGGAGTCTGGAATCCCTAGGTTCTAATCCCAGTCCAAGTATACATACTAGCTAGAAGAATTAACACAGGGCTAGGGTTCTAATCCCAGTTTAGCTACACTACTAAGGTGAAGTCAGAGAGGTTTGGAGGGCAGGACAGGGTTCTGTCCACATCAATCAACTTCCAGGATCCAGGCCTTATTCTGTGATATGGGTAACTCATTTCTCATGGGTGCCTCAGTTGCCACATATGTTAAATGAGGGTGGGGAAGAATGATCAGTTAAGAAAGCTTTGTACATATAACGTGCTAAGGATTTTAAACTTACCTTGTTTTCTGCCTGTAGTATTTAAAATGCTCTCTATGTTTAATTGCCTGAGTGCTCTCTGATAGACACTCACAAATAACATTTTGAAAGCTTTTCCACTGAAACCTATTTTAATTGTTTTAGAATTAACAGCTATGCAAGAAAATAATACAATGAAAATTGACCTTTTACTTGCTTTCAGGTTATCATAGGTTTTAAAAAAAGGTTCCAACATACATCAGCCCCCTTTTGACAGCAGCTTGTCACCTTGCCTGAAATGTGAACTGAGCCCAGGCATGACCCTGAAACTTGGCTCAAAATCTTCTCTTTACACAGCAGATATTATTGAGAGATAGCAATCATAGGGTGCAGTTAACAGTACCGCCTCAGCATTGATTTAAGGGATGCAATGATTTAAAAGCAGGCAAGTGAATGGAAAAGAGAGCTTGGGGATCCCTATTTCATGGAAAGAATAATACACCAGACCTCGCTAAAAAGAATGCTGACGCAAAGAGCATCATGGAGATTCCAGCAAAGACCAGCTATGTTTTAAGACCCCAACTGTTCTTCCATTCATCTCTACTAGAACATAAACTTAACTCTCTTGACAGTTACACATCTGCAGAAGCCCCTGTTAGTTACAAAATCCAGCAGAGGTGTTCGCACCATCTGCAAAATGACCAGATTTGCAGAGCCATTCATCTCAGCTGAAATGTCTGTGCAGAGATTCACTGTTGTAACCTTGGAGCTTTTTCCTTCTGCACAAAAAGACCAATGGTTCATTATATGTCATCACCTATCCAGTCAGGATGTCTGTGGTGAACGTCTCAGTCAAAGTATATCAGTCATGAGGTTTTTCTTTAAAATGGATGTTCTTTGGCAGGAGCAGAGGAATGATTAAAAGAGGGGTCAGCTATATGGATAGTAAGTCTAAAGTCTAACCTATACACTAAGCCACATGCATTAAACATTTAAATCTCTCATAAAACTTGCCCAGGGAAATTTCATGAGAAATACATCAAAATGATCCTTTACTGAGTACTTTAATAAAATCAACTTAGTATGTATGTTTAAAAACTTAGCACAAACACACTAATAAACCAACATGTTGAACTTGAATAAATGTTAAGCTCCTGAGGGTGGGGGGTAGGGGGGACACTATTTTCATGTACAGCACTATTATGTGGATTATTATTTGTAATTCTATTACCAAAAAATAGTTTTTTCACAAGCACTTACACCTGTGTACCCTGTTAATAAAATAATAGTACCTTGCTCTGATATAGCACTTTTCATCAGCAGCTCTCAAAGTGCTTTACAAGCTCTTTCTTAATTTAATCCTATTACTCCTAGCAATGCCAGATTTTATTATGGCACAAAATAAATTCCCTTCCTGGGCGTTTACATCTTTTGGTATCTGTAGGCTGTTCTCCTTGAACCCTGAATCTTTGCTTAGCTATTCAATGAACATATAACTCTTTCATTTTGTGCTCATAAATTAATCAACATGTTGCTAGTCTTTAGTATTTTTGTGACTCGTATCTAAACTGCAACCATTTGTTAATATCCTTCTGATAATGAGATGCCCGGGACTAAAATGCAATGCTTCGGACTGCACCAGAGCCATAGGGATGTCTACACTTGCACCCTCTTTTGAGAGAGGGATGCAAATGAAGACATTCAAAATTGCAAAAGAAGCCGGGATTTAAATATCCTGCACTTCATTTGCATATTCGCGTTACGGCGCTATTTCAAAATAGCACTATTTCGAAATAACAGACGCTGTTAAGACATGGTTATTTCAAGAGAAAACCCGTCTCTCGAAATAACCCTTATTCCTCATAGAATGAGGTTTACCGGTTATTTTGAGAGAAGCGTCTGTTATTTCAAAATAGCATTATTTCGAAATAGCACCATAACGCGAATATGCAAATGAAGCATGGGATATTTAAATCCCAGCTTCATTTGCAATTTCGAATGCCTTCGTTTGTATCCCTCTCTTGAAAGAGGACACAAGTACAGGCATACCCATATAGAAAAGAGTCTCTCTGTGCTGATGGATGCCTCCTTGCTCCACAGATGCATCCCAAAATTGCAGTGACCTTTGTTGCTACCCTAAGACATTGCGCTATCAGCTCTAAGTTTCTTTCACCATTGTTGCTTTTTGGATTTCTCCTTCCCATTAAAAACTGGTAAAAAAAAAGCTTTAAAAAGAGACAAAAATGTTACTCTTATTTGCACCTATTTTCATCCAAAGTAACCCTAATGACTGTTGTGTTCTATGCTGCAAGCAAAGAGCAGAATGTGACTCATGATCCTCTTTTTTTCTTCGATTTCCTAAACTTATATTTAATAGTATAACATCTTTAAATGTTCTGCATTGTGAAATTTCAGTGAACATTTTTTGTTCATAAAATGTTGCACTTTGATAAATAAATGATAAAAGCATACCTGGGTCGCACTAGAAACCTGCCCATAAGAAAGCAACTGTTTCAGCTTTGGCAGTGGTTATGTTTTATGGATGTTGAAACAAAGGAACTCACCCACATGAACATCATGTAAAAAGAAACCCTTTTGCAGGTTTTGAACAATCCGCCATTTCCCATGTGTTTTATATTATAGCTCAGAATATTAACACTCAGCCACCACACCATATAGGTGACAGCATTGGCCTGAACATTGGGAGATTTTCCACATACTAACAGAAACACCTATGCTAAATAACATAGTGTTAATTAACTGTAAAAATTCACAGTATTTAATAGTCTTCAAAAAGATTTTTATTTCTTCTCTGTATTTGGTGGTCTATTGCTGCTGCGTTCTTTCAAAGGAATTTTCTGTATTAGAAGTTTACTTCCAAGATACCCTGCTTTTCCTCACATCTTTATTTCTGCACTTACACAAAAGACCTTTTATAAAGAAGTCACAGCTGCCTTTAAATTTCCATATACTGTAGAATTTTGCAGGTGAGTAGACAAGTCACCTACAGATTTTAGAAGAAATATAAAAAACTCATATGGAGTTGGGAGTGGAGCTTCTTCCTCTTTTTTTAACAGGATAAAAATCTCTGTAATTTTCTATATTTTATTGTCCTTTCAGCAGGTGCCAACAAGCAGCTGGTGTGAACAGGACAAAACAGTGATATAAAGGAAGTGGTGAATCTATATTTAGAATAAGTTCATTACCAAGTGTAACCGTGAAATGGATATACAGTTAGGGACCATTTCTGCATGAAATAGCAAAAGGAGCTGAGCATAACAAAAGATGTATGAAGGGTCTGGTTGTAACACTAGAGTTAAGATTTTATTCGTGTCTTTGAACTCACACGCCTCTCAAAGTTAGGTACTCAGTTAATTTCAATGAACATTTTGCAGCTGCTATTTTGGGGAAATTACTCCAAATGATTCAGTCTGCCACAGCCTGTCTGGTGACTGATGTATCCATTTGCTTCTAAACATTCAACATCACGTTCAAAGATGCTCCATTCCAACTCTGATGAGGTCTGATCCAAAGCTCATTTAAGACAATGGGAGTCTTTTTGTTGAATTCAATGAGATTCTGATCAGGCTCAAAATGATTAGAAAAATACTGATATCCCAGTAAATCCTGAGAATCAACAAGAGTACCAGTCCGGAAAATGGGAAAATATCTGCCTTTTGTATTGGTAGTGTGAAGATCTCTCAGCGAGTTAGGGAACAGTTTTTTCTTAACAAGCCATTCACTTCATCTTCAGTGATTGCCCAGATTCTTGGTAGCATTATTGAGATTCCAATTTCCTGGCATTATCTTGTTTCCTTCTGAAGAACTATTCCACAGTAGGTTCCCTCCCTTCTTTCCCCACTACCCATGTCCTTTCAGTTT